GCTGAACAGCTCTTCACCTGGACAAAGATGTGGGACATCCAAGACGTAAGTGAAACAGCACTTGGACTTTCCCTGAACCGTGAAGGTCTCTGACAACAAAGTACATAAAAACATTTAATAAAGGTCAGCTGTGTCTGTGACGCTAATGGGACTTTTGACATAACCTCAAAAAAATATTTTTATTTTGGTGCTGATCTGGATCCAAGAATTTTGATCCTTCACCACTGTGCCATGGAACCAATTTAGTTGTTTTTCCTTCTAACTCCACACATAGTGCCTAAAATGATTAGACATAAATTACACAATAATATTGACATAAGATCTGCCACACACTGAAGTATGATCTGGATCCAAATAATGTGCCTGATGATCCAGAATGTTCCACTTTACAGAGCTCACAGAAAACTTGCAAATAAGATCAAATTCTAGCTGAAACTCTGCTGATTCAGTACTGTCACCAGATTTGATGTATCTTCAGAATTAAATTATTGTTAATCTGTGCAGTGCAGACCTTTCAGATAAGTCGATCAGTGCTTAAACTAAATGACCTCGTATTAATACTGACAAAAATGGAGACAGACTTTATGTTCTGTCTGATGGATTACATGTCTGTTTATCTGTCTCTTAACCCCAGGTCAAGGTGGTGATCCTTGGCCAGGATCCGTATCATGGTCCTAACCAAGCCCATGGACTGTGCTTTAGTGTCAAAAGACCAGTGCCTCCTCCACCCAGGTTAGGAGTCTTTTCAGTGTCACACAGTCAGTTTCCTTGCTTAAAATCCAGTAGTGATGCTACATCTTTTAATAAGTCATAGTTATTACCAACTTGATTCTTTTCATTTTCAGTTTGGAGAACATGTACAAAGAACTGGTCTCAGACATTGAAGGATTTCAACACCCTAGACATGGAGATCTGACTGGATGGGCTGAACAAGGTACTTTCTTTTTTTTTTTTTTACTGTTTGCATACAGTTACACAAGAGAAAGCGTTCTGTCATTAACAGAGCTGCCATCTTCTCCACTGGTGACCTTGCACATTAGGTGTGTTGTTGCTCAATGCTGTGTTGACCGTCCGAGCACACCAGGCCAACTCCCACAAAGACCAAGGCTGGGAGACTTTCACTGACGCTGTGGTTCAGTGGCTCAGCACTAACCTAGAAGGCCTCGTCTTCCTGCTGTGGGGATCATATGCTCAGAAAAAGGGAGCCGCTATTAACAGGGTGGGTCTACACTCTCGTTTAAATGTAAACACTTTCAACAGAAGATTTTTTTTTTTTAATTTAATTTAATTACATTGATGTGTCATTTTGTGCGCACTGTCTGTATAGAAACGCCACCATGTGCTGCAGGCAGTGCATCCCTCTCCCTTGTCTGCTCATCGTGGATTCTTTGGGTGTAGGCATTTCTCAAAGGCCAATGAGCTGCTGAAGAAATCTGGAAAGTCTCCCATAGACTGGACAGCACTTTAAGTTGTTAGGCACGTTAGCTCTTCTAATGTGTGACGATTAACTATGGACCAAAACCCACACATAAGCTCTTCCGGTTTCCTGTTTCAGCAGTAGTGTGCTGAGTTTTTATGGAAGAGTTCATGTCAGTTTCTTAAAAGCCCTTTTTCAAACTTACTCTTGTAGTGCATATGTGTATCACCTGCACCTGTCAGTTTCAACATTGTAAATATGTTTGTGTACACTATTTGCCTTTTTGGTTTGCACATTAAAGTGAAGCTTTTTTTAATACTTTTTTTTTACTGAAATGTTCAATTAAAGTGGTTCCAAAGAGTGGATGTAATGTTTTAGTGTCTCTGAAGTTGCTCAGTACAGTTATAGCCTGAAACGTTTACTTCCTCAGACATCCATAATGCAGTAGGCATTGTACACACTGATTGGTTTTGTAAAACCTAATGGATACATTAAAGTATCATTATGGAAGTAGAACTAAACATACCAGAAGACATCAAGTTCTGCTAATTTAACTTGTTCACAATTATTAGCATCCTCTCAACTTGGTTTTGAGCTTTATTACAGACCATTAAGTGCCAAATCTTAGAAAGCCTGTATATATACAGTATATATATATATGTGTGTGTGTGTATAATTATTATTTTTTTTAAACCTAACTCATTCTTGAGCATTGCATGACAGCATTCTTGTAGAACTGTAAGCTTTGATATGCAGGATTTTTATCAGCCAAAACTGGAAATGTGAAAAAATGGTCACGGTAGTAAAGAAAGTTCAGTGATTTAAATCAACACTTAAATATTTTTAAACAAGTGTCTTTAGCTCAAAAGCAGGTGGCTTACAGCTGTTTGCTGCACTAGAACTATAAAAAAAAGAAAATGCATAGAATTTAAACAAGGTTATTTGCATTGGTGGAATGTTCTTATACCACTGATTAATTTAAGAAAGTGAAACTTTAAACACCTGAGGACTAAAAATATTTTTACATTTTTCATGCTCTGAACGATGCATTATATTTAATGAACGGTGCTAACTTGGAACACTGGTAAGGTCAAATACCAGTTAGGAGAAACACATGATGCTGGTTCCAGCTTCTAAAATGTGAGGATTTACAGACATCGCGATGGATTGTGGAAAATATAGCGTGATTAAACAAACAAATTAACTTTTTTACTTTAATTTATTACTTCCGTCTGTGTTTTGACATACACGCATTATAAAATGCTTGTGATAAAGAAATCAGTTTTTACAGCTGATAAACACAACTGAACGGCTGTTTTAAACGTCGACGTGAAGACCTGGCTTCACAAGTGACGCAATGACGTCGACAGGAAGACTGGCGGAGTTCCCTTTTCAACTTCGCCCCAGTCAGTCTTAGTGGTGGTAATGTTTGTACAGTTAGGTGAAAATGCCTGTGCAGAGTGTGCTCGCCCGGGATGCGTCCCCACATTTCCGTTTACTGCAGCAGTATCTGATTCTTTTGAAGAAATACCCTATCCTCACAAAATCTGTAACGAGGTCGGTGCCTTTGGTTATTCATTAACTGTTTAGCTTGTTAAAGTTCTGCAGTCTGGTGCTTGTTTTTTTTTTGCCGAGTTTCTTCTTCAGCCTGAACGTGAAGCCAGATCATTCCAGTTACGTTTAAGTCGCCGTTTGCTTGTTAACCGTTGTTATTCGCTTGTTGACTCCAAAGTGTAGCTTGTCATTTTGACCATTGACCACACACTGGCCTTTGTCTCAGCACTCTAGTTTCAACTAATCGTCTTCTGCCTTGAGACCTCCCACCCCAGCAATTTACCATAAACATTAAAATGTATAAGGCAGTTTTATTTATATTAGAGTCCCTATTATAAAAGTAGATCTTACATATATGATAGAGGTGTTGGTGTTTTTTTTTTATATTTTCAGTGGCATCCTCTCAGCTTTAGGAAATCTTCTGTCTCAGATTTTGGAGGCAAGAAAAAACGCCAGAAATGGGGGCCCAGTCACTGAGATTGACACAGCTGGAGCTGCACGCTATGCAATTTATGGGTGAGACTTTATACCAGGGGTGGCCAATTCCAATCCTCGAGGGCCGCTGTCCTGCTTGTTTTCCAACTATCCCTGGAAGATACCAATTCACTTTATCTTTCCTCACTCCACTTTCATCCAAGATGGTATCTTCCAGCTTCTGACTGACTGAACACACCTGAGCCAGGTCATCAGCAGCAGGGCAGGCAGGGATGCAGGTCAGGCAGGGATAGCTGGAAAACAAGCAGGACAGCGGCCCTCGAGGACTGGAATTGGTCACCCGTGCTTTATACGGACTGAAAACTGAGATACAAAAATGTAGTGATGTGTTCCAGTTAGACTACAGAGTAAACTATGATGCAGCAACTGTTTACTGGTACACAAAAGAAACGAGGTTCCCTGTCATAATCTTTGGCCTCCTGTCTTATATCACTGTGTATTATATTTTTTGGTACTTATGCCTTGTTGCCTGTTGTAGGTTGTTTATTACAGGACCATTGAGCCATTACTTCTACCAGCTGATGGAGGTGTGGATGCCCACCACAGACCACTACTGTATAGTCAAACGTCTGCTACTTGATCGACTTATTTTTGCGCCCGCCTTCCTGCTCCTTTTCTACTTTGTCATGAACATCTTGGAGGTGGGTCATCACAGAAGCTGTCCCTAATCATCTTGCTAAAGGGGCACTTCAGTGATTTGATATTGCTGTCCTATAAAGTTGCAGGATTTAAAAGAGATTAAAAAAAGAGTGGTCAGAACTGCTGCAGCAGAGGCCAGGGTTCTCAAATTTTTAGGATCTAGTACGGGTCTGTCCCAATACCTACATTTGCTGTATGTAGGAGCTGTAAAGTGCCTACATGTGAGGAGTATTTCTGTTAATTGCCACTCTGCTCAAGCATGCAGTCGTTTATGAGCACTCACTGGGATAGATTATAAGAACATCCTGTCAATCATGAAAATGCAAATACTGTACATGGCACATTCAGGCTCAGCCGATTTGTTGGAGCAATAATGTAGTAGGTAGAAACAAGCATACACTGTAACAGTTAAAATCAGATGATGGTAAAACACATTCAGGATCTGAGAGGAGGAATAAAAATAAATTGAATCAAGTTATAGGCTATCTATCTGTACATAAGCAAAGCAACATGAATATATAGTACTTTTAATCTGTTGTCAGGCTAAAGGGAGGGAAGACTTTGTAAAGAAGATGAGAAGAAGTTATTGGACTGCTTTGAAGATGAATTGGAAAGTTTGGACTCCCTTCCAGTTCATCAATGTCAACTTTGTGCCTGTTCAGGTATGCATTTCACTGGCTTCCTTCCATTCAACAAATGATGAGTCACACACTGTCTGCACCTACAATGTTTTCCCCTCTACTGTATATGTCTTTTACTTTTAGTTCCGGGTCCTGTTTGCCAATATGATCGCCTTATTCTGGTATGCCTACCTTGCATCTGTGAGGAAATGAAACATCCCAAGGTTTCTTAACAGAAAAACTGGAGGAGAGTGCTACTTTGGCATGTTTGTGAATGCCAGAGAACTGAGATGATACAACCAGGCTGGTTAATGCTCTGCTGTGCACCTGTTCTTAATCTGGACAATAACTTACAGCCAATTTAACTTGTAATAAACCTGTATCATGATTTTAAGCTATTATAACATGTTGCTATGGTACTTCTGAAATGTGTCTTTGTAATAATAGAACACAATATAGTTTTTAATTCCCTATATTTATCTTTTACAGAGCACTTCCAACGTCTTTTATGATATAATAGTAAACCCCCATTCATATGATTGAGACAGTCTCCTATAAATATTGAAAGAATGCCATGTTTAAATGTGCAGTGCTAAAGTGGGCATTTTAGCTCCACCCCTGAGCTGAAACAAGGTTTCAGGAAATGTGAACAAACATTTAAATCTATTTTTGGGACTTCATTTTTAAAGTTTTTATCATACCCAGTTAGTATAAATATACCATGTTGTTACTGTCAATTGTAAATTATAGCAGTGCCTTGTATTGATAAAAAAGCCAAACCAAACGTTTTTAACAAAATTATGTGACATTGGTCAATTTAAGATAAACATTTAGAACATAACAATACAATATATAAACAAGAAAACAAGTTGTTTGGTTTTGATTAATTTGTAATAAAAGGATGTGTATTAACTTCATGTTAAACTGTGAACAGACCCTCTAAAACTGTGTTTTCTGATGTTGTCCGCCGGTTAAATCCTTCCCTCCATAAACCAACCTCCGAGCGTTGTTCCACTGACACACAGATAGCTGGTCACACCCTTCTCTTTACTTCAGATTCGTTTTCCCTTCCCTACTTTAATAACTTTAATGTGACTCTGCTAATGAGAGCATGTTTTATTCATTAGTAACTTTGCCCTGTGGCATGTTTATGAATTTACTACCTAATAATCCAGGTTTAACAAACAGGTGAGTAATAAACAGCTGTTTCATGTCGGTTCCAAACAATTGCAAGTTTACAGGGGACTTTTTCATGATTATGTAAGGTCACATCAGCTTTAATAAGGCAAGGCTAAATCATTTCATTATGAACTGTGGCTGACAAACGACTGTTTTGATCCATTTATAATTTTAAAAGATGTTTAAAAAACAGAATAAACAAATACTAGGATGGGCTGTAGGACATTCAGTGAAATGGCAATAGCCTATCCAGAGCTCGCAAAATTTCAAAATCCCTGGTAGCCCTTCGGGCAGGTATCTTTTGGTTTTTACTATCCCGAAATGAATTTAAGTAGCCCAAATAAAATAAGAAAAATATTTTTAATGTAGAATATCAATAATCAGCAACTGTGTCATATTGAATCTGACATATCAACTGAAGTCACAAATGGCACTCGACGTTGAGGGCATAGCATCTTCTTCATCATCCTTCTCCTGTGCATCAGTCTCCACTTCTCTGCTCTTTGTTCTTGTCGGGGTTTTATGTTCCATGTGTCTTGAACCTTTTCCAGAAAACATCCAGAAACTAACTGCCTTGTCAGGGCAAAAA